CATGAGGTAGCTCTGGCTACTTTCCCAAAGACAAAGAGGAACTCACAGAAACACAAACCCTGCTCCTCAGTGCACAGAAGCAAATCTGTGGTATCTTAATTGAATTATAGAGGTATCAGCTGTAACGTGAATGTTGTGGAAGAATATCAGGTAAAAGTATTGCAAATTATCTGTTAATGCACAATAAAAAGAGGAAGAGAAGCAGGTGTAATGTCTTTAATCCTCCAAAGAAAAAGAAACTCTTCACTGTCAAGAGATACTGAGATGAAATACTGTTTTACAGGGAAGATATTTATCATCAGACAAAGAGATATTGAGGCAAGTTTCATGAACATTTTGAAAGATTTTTGAAGGCTCAAAAGTCTCCACACAACAAAACTCAATTTTCAGAACAGGTAAGCTACAGAGATCCCAGGGGGGAAAAAATTATACTGTGTGCTGTCTTGTTGCAAACTCTTTTAGCCCAAAGTCATCTGTCAGAATATAGTTTTTTATTATCTGGGTTCATGTATTAACTGTGTTGTTAAGAAAACATAAGGTCTGGCAGTGCTTCTGGCAGTACTGTTAGTGGTGGCATGCAACAATTTTGGTTCCTCTGTAGACTGACCCTTAGTTGCTGTGAAAGATAAAGGTCTTTAAATGTTTGAGTGTGAGACTCTTGTAATGCAGGAGGAAACAGAGATGTATTTTTGAAATAAAATTTTCCCAGTCTGTCCCCATGTAGTGCTGATTCCTGCACTTGATGAGAGCAGGAAAGGAACTGAAACACTACATCTAGCTGAAGGCTTCTGAGTTATGTCCTTGGTTTGCAGTGTAAAACAAATTATTAAACATAAAAAAATCATAATAGAAAAAAATCCCTTTTACAAGATAATCGGAATGTATTCCATCATATTATTATTCACTTATATGTTAGTAAAAAGCACTGAACTAAAGAATCTCTATAATACACACACAGACACACACCCTGGGAACAAAGTTTAGGCATAAAACAAATACAGGTACTATGCTGACAGTAGTCATGGATTTCAGGATCACAAGAAAAGCAATAAATATTCTAAGCCAAACTGCATGTTTTAAAAATACCCAAAACAAGAGGTAAAGTATTCACTTCTCAGTCCCTGAAGTTCAGAGAGATGGGGTACTGTGGTGGTTCTGCCTAAATCCTGCCCTGCACTGAAAGCAGATCAGCTAGAGAGCAAATCCTGCTGCTGTTGGGTATGAGCACTTTCTGTGAAGAAGCAAATCTGTCCCTTCCAAGACTTTACCCCATTGCACTTTGTTCCTGCTGGCAACACATCACAGCCTGTTTTTGTGAGCTTGATAAAGAGGATTTGGCATTGGAGATACATGCTGTGTGTGAGATACTAAATGAAAGTAGCAAAGGAATGGATGAAAGCTACCAAGTGTTGTCCAGCCACCCTGTGTATCATCTGAGAAAGAAAAGCTAGCTGCAAAGAGAAGAGCAAACAAGACTACCTCTGACTCTTGGGGTAGCAGCAATTAACTCAATGAATTAAAAAGCACTATGATTCCCTCTTACGAAGCTGGGTTCCTTCTAAGGCAAACAATTGCCCTCCTAAATAGAATAAAATATTTTCCAATGTGTCACCTTAATAAAAGCTCTGGGACAATTCCTCTTTCAGAATACATCAGGTTACAGCAATGCAGGAACAAAAGTGCAAATGGTTTATGATGGGTAGTATCAAAGCAGTGCAGGACAAACTAGCTCAAATACCTGATCTGAGGTACAAAAAAAACCAAGTTTGCATTGATGTGGCATAAACATATGATCTTGAATAGATATGGCCAAGGCTCCAAAAAAAGCTGCAAAAATAGTTAACTTAGTTCAGTTCTTCCACAGACTATAAATAAGGTTCAAAGAGTTATAAAACCAGGCAGTAGACACCAAATGCATGCAATCTTGGAGTAGTGCTAGTAAAAGTACATCACCACCTCTCTGCTGCACTGAAAAATTAGGTAAATACTTCATTCATACATGCATACACATATTGCATACACTCATTCACTTCAGAGCATTTCTATAGTTTATTAGGTACTGGCACTAAATAAAGTTTTGTAAACATTTTCATTTCATATTGTTAGTGGTAAAGAGAATATTTGTGGTGCATGGTCACTAAGCAAACAGAGTGAAAATACTTTTACAGGGAGTATAAACAGTTTTATGGAGTATCAGAGAGCAAGAGGAAGCTGCAAATATAGAGCACCAGCAGCTGTTCTGGGGCAAGGCAGCTGATTTGGTTCCATCTAGTAGCAAACTCTATTTGGGCAAACAAGTGGGTGGAGGACTGTGTAATGGAATATAGCGACTTCTAAAGTGGCATAACTCATAAGATGAGAGGACTTCTTTCTCTCTTTTTTATATCATTTTTAATAAGAATTGGGAAAGTGGCCCAAAACTGTTCCTGGATAATCAGTTGAATAAAATACTGGATTTATTACACTGTTATTGACACCCTTTCTCAACCTATTTTCCATGAATATTCAGTTTAATTGTAGGAAAGCTTGAAAAAACAGACACCAGAGCTGGTGCAAGAACATCTACATTTCCACATTATATATTTTTATAAGATCCAAATCCTTAGAGATTTATTTGTTCTGCCCCAAATAAATAATAAAACACTGGAAAACTATATGTGCAGGCAAATTTATTATGAGCACTGAAGATATGTTCTCAGAAAGTTTTCAGCAAATACCTGGGAAAGCAAATATACTGTAGATTAGCCATGTTGGCTTGTGGGAAATTTATCAATTAAAAAAATAGATTATATTTATAAAATTTCTTACTCAGCTCCAGTGCAACAAATATACTAGACTGCTATGCTACAGCTAGGGCTGCTCATTCAGCAAGCAGTTGTTTCTTCTCTTGAAGTTGCTAGAGTGACAACTGGTTGCCAACAGTATATGTTTGTGGTAACTAATGACTACAGGTTTCTTTCATCCTCAGAAATGTTTTCTGGGTGCAAACACCAATCCCACTGTGTATGTTGCCATGAGCTGGTATTTCACCCTGCTTGCAGAGCACTGTCTGTGTGCCTCTGTTCAGAGAGCAGGACTTCAGTTGCTGGAAGCTCTGTGGCCTCTCCTCACCCATGGGTTTCCATAAAAGCTTCTGTTGTGCCTGGTAGTAGATCTCTTTCCGTGGCAACCAGAAGTAAATAGGTTATATGTTCTCCAGACAGCTGCTGTAACATATTGTGGAATACAAACCCAGCAGCATCAAAGGCACCCTACAAGTAAAATAACTACATTAACTGGAAGGAAAATTGATTTTTAACTTCAGGTAGCAGAAGGGAATGGACTCTGATATTTTCTGGTTCCTGCAACACACCCTCACAGTTCAGCTGGCCCTTTTCACTTGGGTGAAAGAGGTTCTGCACTTTCAGGCTAGTCTGTCCTAAGAACAGCTGATCCAGAGGATCTCTCATAATGACTGTGAGAGAAAAATATGCCTTTGATCCATCCTCATTGCCAGACCTCTGTGACCTGAAGATTTTATCCAGCTGGGAGTCTACCCCAGCTGGATAAAATTTTTTGACAAGACAAAGAGGGGCTGTTGATTACAATTCATAGCAGCAGCCACTTTTACAGCAAAACCATCTTCATTTATTTCTTGTATTTACATTGTATGGTTGTATTGTACATTGTATGTACATTGGTACGGTTTGAATACAGTGCATTTGTAATGGAGATAAATTATCTCTATACATGAGATGGCCCTTTGGGGATTCCTCAGAGACAGCTTTGCAAAGTACCCAAGGTTCATAACTGTCATCAACAAAAAACTGAAATAGTCCCTTCCATCATTTGTTCATCTGAATCTTGTGTAACAAATGGCCACCACACTCCATAGCTGATATCCCCAGTTATCAGCCAGATTTCTGCCAAACTTTGTATTGTTATCCTTGGCCCATTAGCCTAGAGAAATTAAGCTCAAACATTTCAGTACAGTTCCTGCTGTATTCCAGTTGGAGAACAGTGATTCACTCTACCATTTCTCTCAGGAAGAACAGATCCGCTATGGGCATCATTTACAAAACCTAATGAACTTCAGGCCTGGCTTCTTAGACTAAAGCATTAATTACTTCTTTTTAATCAGCTGTTTCTCAGTAATCAACAGATTTCTTGACAATTGGTGTGGAGTAGCACCATTCAAAAACTTATGGAGAACATTAATGCTGTACTGAATCTGCACCAAAATAGCATCCTTGTGCTGTATTTTCATAGCTGTCTTTTACTCTTGTTTAAAAGAGCATGACTATCAAAACCGCTTTGTTCAGTACGTGTGTATATAATAATGTATATGAGTCCATCATTGTGGTGTTCACTGTGGAAATAATGCAGTCATACAAAAGACACATTGCTCAAAATAAAACCTAAGATAAATAAAGGAAGCTATAACATGCTCTGTTGGGCCCACTTCTGGACCTATTTAAAGTCAATGGCAAAGTTCCCACTGACCTCAAGCAGGAACTAGCTCCTTTTTCTCTTTCTAGATTTGTTTAGAAAGAAGTATAATGACAGACTTGAAAGGTAAGATGAAATATTTGGGGAGAGGGAGAGAAAGAATAAAAAAAGGAAAAGAAATCAAAAGGGGACAAAGGAAAACAAAAATCGGTATTTTACCATTCTGCATAGGGTGTAACAAGAATTGATTAGGGTGGATTTTTTCAGATTTTCCGTGTTCTGGTTTTGCCAGAATATTTTAATATTTTATTGCTTGCATCTCTTTCCCAGCTCTTTCCATCCTCTTCTCTGTGGGCACTTCTACTGGCCTCAAAAAGCATGTGGTGCTTCACAAAACCAAAAATGTGTTTGCCATTAAATATAATGTGTAAAATCTTACGATGCTTTCAGAAAAATAACGCTCACATATCCAAAATGAGGGGAAAATGGTACCTAATCATACGTATAATTCACAACATTTATTTCACCGGTAATGAATGTTGTCAGGTTTTTCCTATGTTGAACAGCCATACCTGAGGGGCACAGCGTTAAAGGGCACATTCACTGCTGACATAAATGGTAACTACGGCCACTTCAGTGAAGTTATCTCCAATTAAGCCAGCCATTACATTCACTTCAAGGTATGCAATACATTTTAAATGATAGAAGCAAGTCCAGGAAATGCTGAGTACTTCTACGAACCCTCCTTCGTGTGTGACTCCCCCTGGACTCAGGCTCCTTTCCTAAATCCAGCGGTTTTGTGGTAAGTGCCGCCTGAGCAAAACACGGCGATGGTCAGCGCTGTGTCCTGTTTACCGTCGCAATTAACAAAGCGGCATTCAGCGAGAGACACCAAAGAGCCTGCTGCACTTAAAGGGCTAAGGAGAGGTGATAACAGCCCTGGCTTCGTTAAGGCTCGCTGCCCAACTTTACTGAAAATGTAGTGACAGATAAAACATAAATCAACATCCTTATCGTTCTGGCTTCCTTGCCTGCCAAATGGGGGTTTAGTTTATCAGCGACCTACAGGCCCACTGGCGGCCTTTACACTTACAGCTGGTCAGCGGGGTGGGACAGGGTGGAAGCTAAATGGCTGCTCTAAAACGCCTTGGTGTAAACAACCCGGGGAAGGACTTCCTTGAACTGCCAGTTACCTGAGTGCGATCCATCTCACTAAAGCGTCTGCCCCAAGAGGGGTAGTATCACCGGGAAAGAAAACAAATAAAAGACACCCAGCATGTCGCAGCGCAGGCACAGGCTGGGGAATGCTGTCCCCTGGAGGGGGTGAGGGATCCTCAGCAAGGTAAGCTCCTTATGGCATTGCTCAGGAAGGGGGCAAGTATTTTGGAAGAAAAGGGACTTCATCAGCCCAGCCTGCTTCCTCTGTTTTGTGACCAGAACATACAGCCTTTACACATATATGTATACATAATGCAGTGTCTGCTTTGACTCCCTGTGAGCCGCATCGTGGGAGCAATCCTTTCAAAGGCACCAGTAGCCCCCAAGGCTCAGAAGAGGAGAGTATCAAGGGCATATTTATCCCCCCTTGCAGGCCAGCAGGCTTCTTTCCCTGTGTTTTATGTAGGTTGCTCTATGTGTAGGGATCTTGAAAGTATTTGTCCCAATTCATTGGGTCACAGTTATGCTTGCACTAAGTTCAGCTCATAAAACAAAACCCTTTTAAACTGGGCCTTGCTCATGTAGAGGCCATGGGTTTGGACAGGAGAGCCCCCAGTTTTTGCTAGTTATGGGACTACGCTGACATAATCACCGTCATACAAACAGTTAGTGAAGATGAAATTAGCATTTAGATCAGTGATTTATTTCTCTCTTGAGATCTACTGCACCAAGTAATTTCTTAGAAGTTTAAAGTGAGGCAACTGCAATGGTGGGTTTATGTCACTATTAACAGAAGTGTCAAATGCAGGTAGGTTTGACGGACATTAGCACAAGACTTGTGGGGTTTTTTGTAACTAAAATTGAATTTACTTTTAAAGTGTCCATTTTCCCCTGTCCTTTAGGTATAGTGAGTCAAACTACAGCATTTCATTTAGACAGCAAACTACTCCATATTTCCTCGTGTTTTGAAAGCCCCATCTTCTGGCAACAACTCCGTGGAAAATAATGTGCTGATCACAAGCAAATCACAGGTGGGAAGTGAAGACACTGTTACACCCATACTGTTGTGCAAAAAAAAATGCAAATGTACACACTGAACAATGTTACATATGTTGGAGCCACGCCTTCTGGCAAAAAAATGTACATTTTATAATGAAAAGTTTGCTTCCTGATTCTTTTTTCACAAATAAACATTTTACAATCGCATTTCAAACACCTGGGATATAAAGAAAGATATTCTCTTCTTTGTGTACTTGTTTGTTTAGCAGGGTACTTTGACAAGGTTACCAAAGCAACAGCAACATACTTGCACCCATATTTAGCCAAGTCTTCTCAAAAGCTCACGCTGCACATGCTCAGAGTGTACATACAATAACTAGTTTGTCCCCAAGAAGTCTGTCAGAAGAGCATGTTTCAATCTAGAGCTACAAGGAGCTGAACAAGGAGTTTTTTGAAGCAACAGATAGCACGAGAGCAGTCTCTGGAAAGGACAGAGTCGAGACCAAAGCCCTTTCACTCTCAGTGCACCCCAGGCAGAGAGGCAATGGAGTAAAAGTAGTGGCCTGTACAGCCAGGACAAGTAGAAGGCATATTTGGAAATGCAGCAAGTTTATAGGAGTTGCAAAGTTGAGAGAGGGCAAGAAGGAGGGTGAGAAAGGAACTGAAGGCAGAAACCAAAGTTGAAGTAAAAGAAAAAGAGAAGGGCCAAAGTCAGAGTGTATGAAAGGATGAATGCAAGACACAAGTGGAGGTGGAGTGCCATTATAGAGATGCCAATGAAAGAAAAGAAAACAAAACAACAGAACCAGAACAGAAAGTTGGAAATGCTGATGAATGTTATACTTTAGCTAAACATTTCCAAACTACCTCTGCTATGAGCTGTGTATTGCACTTACAAAAATGACTGGCTTTCCTCTAGCTGCTGAAAATAGCCTTTAAAAGGCAAATCGCCTACTACTAGAGCTACCAATTGCTGTGTGGCCAACTGTTAGTTTGTTCAAACACAGCACAAACTAGGTTTGGAAAAAAAAAATCTGCCTATGATACCAAAAGTCGAATGTAAGACCCTGTTGTGTTCCAGGAGCTATGGATCACACATCTTGGAAGAGGCTGTGCTACTGGCCAGAAAATTTTCTTCCTAATGGAAGCCCAGCTAACCACAGGATCTGCTGCAGACCACAGACCAGCCAAACTCTACTAAAGACAGCCCACTAGGTTGGAATGCGACCACAGTTTGGAAACCACTGGCTCATGAAATAAACGAGATAATATTTCAACCTATACTGTCAAACATGCTTTTCTTGAAGGACTGTCAGGGCTGTGTAAGAAATAAGGTCATGTCTGTAGGATTGTCCCAGAAGCTCTGTGGAAATACAGTGAACTCTGTTCTTCCAGAAATCAGCACAAATGTAGACAACTGATAGAGAATGGTAATTTTGCATCTACAAAGCCTGCAAAGGTAATTCAGATGTTACCATCAGAACTCTGGAATTTTGCATCATCAAAACCTTCATTAAAAACTAAAATGTGCATCAGTGTATGATAGCCAGCACTGCAAACTATGATTTCACTTAACGCAGGAAAATGCCTCTCCAGATGTGTCAGAGCCAGGATCAGTACCAAGTTAATATTTACCATGCATCTAAGTATGAGAAATTAGTGACAAATATTTCAATATCATGAGTTTGAGCATTCATATGTGAACTTTTTGACATTAAAGTAAGGAAAAAAAAGGTTATTATAGAAAATGGAGACATTTCCTGACAAAGACAGAATTACACAATTTTGAAAGATAATATTTAACCTTTGGAAAGGCCAAAATTCTTTGGACTGACGCAGAAGTTATAAAGACAGATCTTGCCAAATGTAGAGTAATTTTTGAAGAATTACTCTTTTTCACAATGCTAATACAAAAATCCTTGGACATAAAACTGAGAACTCTGGAACAGGAAGGAGAAATGATAGATGCTTAAAAAAACAAGTCTATTTAGAAGCCATTTGTCTGAATTTTGTAATGTCCACTGACAATAACATATTTTCATCCTTGACTGTATTTTACAAGTTCATTTCTTCATGGACAGAAACCAGTATATTTAGCTTCTCAAAATATGTGTCTTAAAAGTGGATAGTGATTGCTTGCTTCTAAATTCTATAAAAGAAAGGAAAAGAAAAAGGACACTGAGAAATAATGCAAGTGTATACACATACAGCCACATGTATAAACCTGTTCATACACTTACATTGAAATTGTAACACAATTGTGAAGAAGTTGGATTAACAATGGAATTTCTCCTTTTCTGCAATATCCCACTTTTAGAATGAGGAATTCTATATATATTTGCTTCCACAGATGGCAAATATGTTTCCTCTGAAACAGCTTCCTATGTAGAGTTTCTGTTTATAGAAACATGGAACACAAATAATCCTCTTACTTAACTGAATGACTTCTTTTTGGTTTTGTTGCCGTTGAATGATTAAACCACAACAAAAGCTAAAGCACTACACAGTAGTAATGTGAAATCAAATTCTGCATTGTAAACTTCAAAAACTTGAGACTTTCTAGAGTGCTCGCATTCAGGACATATCAAGGAAAATTCCACACAAATGAAGAATGTCATAATAGCAAAGAAAAAAGGAGAGACACAGGGAGGTAGGAAACAGCAAATGCTGAGAATACAACGTCTGTAAAATGCACCAACAATTCCAAGCTTGCAATGGGCTGTCACTGTACACGCAATGAGGAAATTTCATTTAAAAGTTACAAAAATGACCTTGCTTTGAACCAAGTGAATGTGATTATTTCTGAACTGAATGGAAAGTAAAGAAGTTTGGATTAAATGTTTTACCACTGCCAATGTCCCAGAACTTTCTTTGGCTCTATATTCTCTTTTCCTATGTTTGTCAGCTGAATTTAATGTTCTCTTCTTTTTTGTCTCCTGGTCTCTTTGACCTTAATGTGACATTTTAGTTGGGTGATTAATTACTATTAAATGGCACTGCATTTATTAAATGGAGTCCTTGTCTGTGTAAGAGCACAGTCACAATGCAACGATTCAGTTTGATAAGCTTAAATATACACAGTTAGATGTGGTAATATCTAATTTGTCAAGGATCTTGTGGCTAGCTTTTCTGCCACACAGCTAGAGAGGAGATGTGATTGCACAAAAAGCTTAATATTCTGAGCCTACATGTTCTCAGTAAATTGATCTTCTCCATCATGTAATCTTATTTCAGAGTGTGCAGGAGACAGCAAAGTTCCACACAAGCCTAAGTTGCCTTAATAACAGGCCTGAGGGTTCCTGACCATAGAAATAAAAGCTATGTGACAAGATTTGTATGTCTCTTTTCAGCAGACAACAGCTGACTCGCCCTGCCAGAAGCTTTCTTTCTGGGTTAATTGAATAAAAAGAAGAACTAATGTCAGTAAAAGGATGAAAAGTTCATTGAAAAAGAAAAGATACATCTATAGGTTGGACACCTAAGTCAAAAAGAGATTGTGAATATTTAGCTTATTAAGTGAAACACCAGCACCTAACCTTGTAATCAGCCAGGTTATTATTCTGTCAGTTTTATTCTCCAAACACTGCTTTACTCTTTTCTTATCTAACAGTTGATTTGGAACTTTTTTTCAGACTATAATGAATCATCAAAGCAAAACTTCTTGCAAGTAAAAGGTTGGTTTTAACATCTGCTGGGAAAAAAAAATTCAGGCTGGACAAAATAAAAATGTGAGGGAGACTTTCACAAAAAGCTTGGGAGTTTTGAGTATTCATGAGAAAGACAGACAGCAGCTGGAGCTAGTTCCTGTTTCTTATATCAATTCTTTTCCCCTCTGGTTAAACACAGCTAGGCCAGCAAGAAGAATAACAGTAGTTTTTCTCAGGTTTCGCTCTCAGTCCTCACGTCTTCCACTTCCAAGACATTCATTCTTGCTCCTGCATCTGCAGAGTCAGTGCCTGTCTTTATAACTCTTTCTTACTACACAAAAAAAAAACAACTAGAAATCAAAATTAAAAGGTGAAACAGATCAGGTTATTATAAGAAATAAGAGGTCTTCAGTCTTATCTCAAACCTGCAAGTACTTTCCCACAGAAGAAAATTGCAAATGTTGTAAGAGAGAAATCACACCTCTCGTCTGAATTTAGGGGTTTACAGAGATCTCGTAGAGATATTGTGGAGTTGTGGGTAATGTTTGGGCATGCATCTTCAGACCTTCTCTAGATCTGAGATTAATACCTTCATATCAACCACAGTGGGAACCCAGATGCAGACCTTCTCCAGAGACACATTTGCATGTGCTCAGGGAACAGCTCCCACCTTTATGGGGAAAAGTGAATCACGAAACTATAATATGGAGGCATCCTCTTTGCATGATGAAGAGCCAAGCTGAACTCCATGCACAAGCAGATACTTGAACTTGCATGTTCTGCAGGTTGGCAGACACTGTTCCAGCTGGAGACACCAAAAGAACCCTGCCTTCAGGCCAAACATCCGTAGTGAAGTGAATCTAAATGAATCAAGAAAGACCATAATTCCTCTGACAGAATTATATTCTTGTCTTGAGTACTGATGGCAGTCTAAAAGGATTGCACAAGAAAAACATTCTTACAATTCTCATTAAGGATTAAGTCAACACATTCCCAGTTGCTCCTGCATAGGTTTGTTCATCTCCATCTTCCACTATCAGGAACAGGAAAAAAGGCATATTCATATTGTCCAGAATCTTATGGGCTCAGGATTACAGGCAGGAAGATGCACCAGGTGTGTGCTTTAGCAGACTCAAAATATAAGTCTCTTCAACATTCTTCATGCTAAACATATGTCGGGCACTTCTTCCAGGAAACTTTATAGAAATTATATCCAACTGCAAAAAATGTCCTTTTTTTACCTGAGGCATCAAGCCTGGGCATAGCATCTACTTCAAAAGCACTCAATTCTTACCTTCCTTGCAGAAATATATTTTTATTGGTCTAATTTGCTGGTTTTAGGAAACAAAACAAAGGCATTATGCAGTCTGTCCCCATGATCTTCAGAACAAATTTCTGGAAAACATAGAGTAACTTTGCAAATACAAATTGCTCTGCTTCTAGAGCCAATTTAATCTTACTTTATATGATTAATAAAAACTGGTTAATAGCAACACAATACATTACATGTTCATCTAAATGAAATGTCTTAATTTAGTGATCCAAAGGAAAATTTTACTTCAAGGAAGGAAGTATCAGAAATATTCTTCAAGATTTTACAAGTCACTAAATTCATTTTCAAACAATACCTAAACTTTTGTTTTGGCAGATGCTTAAATATTGTATTATCTCCACTAGAGCATTTATGGGATTTCAGACTATTGATAAAACATAAGTAGAGAATTTAACATCTGTGAAAGTGGTAATCAAAGGTTTACCTTATTCACTCAAAATATAGGAACAAGTTTCTGCTGTTCAAATCACAAGGCATATTACTTAGTAGAGATTAAACTAAAAGCACAATCTAACATACACTTCTTTCTGTATGAAAAGGAAAAAACCCCACAGATTCATTGTATAAGCTGCTGATCAGCGTGCTAATTTTCAAATTATGGCTTAATGATCTCTTCTGTGTAGGCAAGCAATCAGGATTTAACTGTAAAGAGTCTGTAAAATGGAGGAGTATAATATTATATAACAACACACAAGTAATGGTTTCAAATTACGAGCAAATCTGAGAAGGGGAAAAAAGTCTTCTCCCCTTTCTCCCAAACACATGCACAATTTCCTTTAGAAGAAAAAAAACCAAGAAAAATATATGTATTGCTTGCTCTTTCTCAAAGGTATATCAAATGCTGATTGATTCTAAATCATCTGAATTGTAATGTGACCATCAGAGCAAAACGTGGCCTTACAATGCTTTCCTGTAACTCAAAGGGCAGGACAAAAGTGACTGTGTTGAAAGAATTATAGCCAAGGACATAACTGTAATGAAGTATTATCACAGACATATAATATTATCAAAATATCAAACTCTACACATGTCAACAGTCACCCAACGTGATTAGAGGCAGATCTGGTTTTCAGTTTAGGTGAAAGTAGGCAGTTGTTTACGTTGGCAGATCACGGGGGAAAGGGAGGAAATGAAATGCCCCCATACAGGGTGCCATGGCCTCATGGCCTGTTTTGAGGACCCCGAGAGAAAGACAGGCAGGGACAGGAGCTGTGTGCCCCACCACCAGTAGATCAGCTCAGAGAGGGAGCAGAAGGTTAATGCTTCCCTGCCCACCGGTTCCTAGTAAATCTGCTCC